CTGCGCCACCAGGGAGGGGCCCATAAATAAATATTTTTAAAAAATAAAAAAGAAATTTGCCTTCAAGGGGAGGGAGAAAAAGGGAGTGAGTGGCATGGCTAAATGGTTAAATGTGTAGTGGTGGAAGGACCTAGATTGTTGGTGGTGTTGAACTTTAATGAAATAAGCATGTTGGAATATAATGCTGCACTCTGAAAACCTACATAAGTTTATACAATCAATGTTATTTCGGTACAAAATTATCTAAAAAAGGATAGAAAAAGAGATATAGATCTTGAAAAGCACCGCAGTCGCAAGATTATCTTTTAATGCAGGTGAGAATTAGCCAGTGCTTTGTGATCTTAGATGCTTTTATAAAATCCTGATGTCCAGGCCTCACTTAAGATCAATTAAGTTGAAGTCTCTGGTAAGGGAGTCTGAATTAAATCATCTGTAGAAGTTCCTCAGTTGACTCAATCTTACACACTTATCAGTCCAGGGGCACCACTGTAGTTTTGAGTATAGCACAGTGGTGATCATGCTAATGGCCTTGATTTATTAACAAAAGAGCTATGTTTAGAAGGCACTAAAAGTCCCACCCTCCCTGGCCCCCCACTATACACAAGCACAAAGCATTCCTCTTTGGTAAGGTTTGGTGGGTTGTCTTTTGAATCTGGCAATGCTAAAAAATTGCTCCATATCAATTAATGGTAACAGTGTTAATGTAACACAGAAAAGCAGGCATTATTGGCCAAGGCAGTTATGGCTGCTTCTGACGTGGCTTAGCATGTACTGGATGAGAAAAATTTAAAGTGTGTGAAAGTGGCTTGCTGGTTTGTGCATACAGTCTGACTTGTTCCTTCCTCATAATGTGACATCTGAGCTCTGAGTTTAAGGTGCACCCAGGAGAAAGTGGTGTGCCTGAGAGAGAGTGTGCTCTGCTGTCTGCACAGGGGAGGCTGCAGTTAGCACTTGCCTTCTATGTAGGTTTGCATATGAACTTCCAGAAAGCTCCAGCCCCCTCCCTCGCTAGCTGCGTGAACTTGAGAAATCACCTATCCTCTATGAACTTCAGTTTATTTGATTGCAAAATGATAGTTGTTAGAAAATTTTGAGAAACTGTAAATAGAAAGCACAGAGGATTGTGTGACTTTTTTTTTTTT